GAGAAAATGGCCACCAACGATTAGTTGTATCCTTAGCTTAAGAGTCCGTGGCAACTGAAAAGTTACATTTATAGTACCTTTAATCAACGATTTTCATAAAAATCCACACAGAAATGAGTTCTTCAATGGGCATGAAAGGTTTTGAGCCAAAAAAAATTGATTTTCACAAACTGAACGAGCTTCTATCTGCTGATGACCAGAGCATATTGAATACAGATGAAGAGGAACTACAAAATCACATCACAAAACTAAGTGAGGAATGTAAACACCAGAACATGAAAATTTGCTTCTCAAAAACAGAAGTTATGAAGGTCAGCTGAAACCCAGGGAAACTCAACATTCTTATTGATGGAACACAACTCCAACAAGTAAAGGAATTTAAATAATTGGGAAGCATCTTCACAAAAGATGGGCGTATGGACAAAGAAATAGAAACAAGAACTATGAAGGTAAATGCAGTGACCAATCAGATAGCATCCCCGCTCGGTCACAAGAACCTCCCAACCGAAGTGAAATCCCAGATCATCAATTGCATCTTCATATCAACATTAACATTCCAGTGCCAAACATGGTCTCTAAACAAGGCGCAAGAAAGAAAAATCAATTCATGCGAAATGAGGTGTCTCTCAAAACCATCAACGTCACCAGAAGGGACAGCATAAGAAAGGAAACCATACGTCTACAAACCGGAATACCACCAGTAATAAAATTCATAGAGTGCCAAAGAGTCAAATGGTTTGGACAAACCAGAATGCCCCAGAAACAACTAGCGGCTAGAGCTTACAACAGACAGGAATCCGGCTTCAAATAAAGAGGAAGACCAAGAAAGACCTGGCTGGATGGGGTTAAAGGGGCCCTGGAACAATCTATCACAGACGCTACACACCTGGCACAGGACCGAAACCTGCACCTCCCCTCGACATCCTAAGGGGCCCTGGAACAACATAACGTATCTATCACAGACGCTACACACCTGGCACAGGACCGAAACCTGCACCTCCCCTCGACATCCTAAGGATGGAAAGGTAGAAAGTGAAGAAAGTTCAATGAAGTATAATGTGTCTGGGTCTTTCTGCTAGGACTTCGTTGTCCTTTCAGTTCGAGTTGGCCCTAACAAGTCGTGTTGAAACCCTGCTCCAATTAATAGATCTATATGTAAAGGCAGCGTGGTGGAATCAGGCTCTCGTCAAAATAATCAAAGTGAAGAAACCTGCATTTTTCCGCAGGTTTGTGAATTTTTATCTTATTTTTGTTTTTTGGCTCAAGCCTTTCATGCCCATTAAAGAACTCATTTCTGTTTGGATTTTTCTTGAAAACGTTGATTAA